CATAAAACATGAAAGTTTTAATAAACAAAAGGAATAAAAACTATTTTCAATTGTTAGAATGATGATATGAAGAAAATGGAGAAAAAAAAAACAAAAAACGATAGCCCTCAAAAGCATCCAAGATAAAGGAAATTGAAATTTGTAATGAGGATCCCAACAGACTTTCTAATTCAGTCACATAAGCTTTAAAACTTATAAAATATGATAAAAATATAGTTTTAAGGTATGCTGTATTTATGGGCACAATATCAGGCATGGAGTGAGTGTAAATATAAAAGTGGACACTGTGATCAAAGTCGAGTGGCGACAGTCTGTTTCATGCTTGATTGCAATCTTTAGACCATTGTGGTCAAGCATGAAGCAGACTGTAGCCATTCGATGTTGACCTCAGTATCCACTCTTATATTTAATTTATAAAATAAATGGTAAAATTTCTGTTATTCTCAAAAATAGACTAGACAGCATTTTGGTCTTGGAAATAGGTTTTCACCTTAACAGGCTTAGGCTGAGTAAAAAAGAAAAAAAAATTGAGGGCAGAAAGATGATCCTAGCAAAGATAGAAATAAAATTTATAAAGGGTGAACATGATGTTGAAGGCCATAAAAAAAATTATAAGTTTGGTTTGGTTTGGTTTACGGTATATCAACCTCAATAGGTTATTTAACAAAATTTTTATTGTTGGTAATATTTTGTTTTCAAAAATCTATTACTTTTTCTTTCAAAAAAATCTATTTCTGGTAATATTTTTTTCTTCAAATATGTATTGCTGGTAATATTTTTTTCAAAAATGTATCGCTGGTAATATTTTTTTTTTCAAAAATGTATAGCTGGAAATAATTTTTTCTTCAAAAATTTATTCCTGGTAATAATTTTTTACAAAGTATTTCTGGTATTAAAACCTATTCTTACACTTTCATAGTATTTTTACCCAAGTTTGGATGTTAACTATTTGCCCATAGCTGGGACCCTAACAGGTGCTACCACCCCGGGTCAGGGTGGACCTGGGAACACCAGCAATTAAGAGGTGGTTTGACACTTTTCAAAACCTCCTGATCAGAGGCCTTGCTGTCAGATGCAGTTTATCATCTTACCCAGGAAGCAGATGTAGTTTATCTTCATACCCAGAATGGAAAAATTATAAATCATGCAATTTCAGATGCAAACATAATAGAGATTCCACCACATGGCTTCAAGAAATAATGTTTAACTTATCAAGAGCAAGATAAAAAAAATATTTCCATCAAAACTTTTAAACCTTCGCCCAAAAGAGCAATGACAATTTGCAATTCTTACTAACTGTGGTCATATATTGAACCTGCTACAGACTTCTCACCTGTCTTGACCAAGAGATATTTAGCGACCCTCCCACGAGGGTTACATGTGGCACAAGGCCAGGTTTAACATAGGAATTCCAAGCCTATAGGCTCGGCCAAAAATATTCCCTCTTTGAACCCGCATAAACGGGTTCAAGGGCAAGTCAACCACCCCGAACGAGACTCTGCCCTTTGACAGAGCCTCGTCCGGGTTCCTCTCCGCCCGAAAGTAGAGAGTTAGACTGTTACTTAGCCAAATTCACCTGTTTTGACCAAGATGCCACCAAAACTTTTTACAGCTTTATTTCAAAGGTACTGAAATGTATAAGTGTTTCTCACACACACACACGCACATATATATATATATATATATATATATATATATATATATATATATATATATTATGAATGAACAACTCACATCCTACATTCAACACACACTGGTAATCACTGAAATTTGATTTGGAAAATTGTAAATACATGAGTGTAATGTTTATTTCACATAGATATTTCTTCTACTCAGACCAAATTTATTGCTCTTTTTTCATTTTTTTTTCTTTGGCTCTACTGATAAATCAAAATTCATTTTATGTCAAATTCTTTTCAATGTTACTGGGCATTCTTTCATTTTAATGTTGGTAGCAGCATGACTGTCACATGACACAGATACAAGGCTACATATTAACAGTCACAATGTAACCACAACATTAACAGCTGATTTATAAAACAATTCAAAAATTCTATGAGCTCTTGGGAAATGTTTGATGCAAATACTTTTATTATTGGTATGTTATTCCAAACAGGAATTGGAAAAACCAAAGATTCAAGTTACAGTCGAGTCAGTTGCATTCACTTTTGCATTACGGCCCACGGAAAAAGCATGAATTGATCTTCTCTACCTCCTCGCTATGTGTGAAATTAGGCAGGGCTGTTTACTCTTGGGTGACAACAAGTCTAAGAAAAAGAAAACTCTGAATTCCAAACCAAAAAGAAGCTTTCCCCAAAATTCCTAGCAATTCAAATATTTGAGAAAAAAAAGAATGGTGTGGAGAACCATGATCACCTACGTCTTGAAGAGAAATGGCATTAAAAAGATAGGATCCTTAGATGGTTTTTGAGTGTTCTACAAACGTTGAAGAACATAACTTATTCCTCTTCATCATTATTTACCTATTAACTTGTAACTTTTGTTTTAAAATCTGACTAGTCTATCCATTACATGCAATTAAAGATGAACCAGTCTCTCTTGTTAATTTATAGCCAAGTAATTAATCTATTTTTGGGGGATTTTTTCCTTTCTAAAAATAACATCATAATCAAAGCAAGACATTGATAAAGAATTTATGAAGGACATAATTCAGATAAAATTGAACATTTCAATGGCTTCTATAATAATTAGATTATTTTACTGCCTTTTTTATATATAGCTTTATGGCTTAAATATCACCAGCACTGTAACTTTTGATATTTATTCTTTCCAAAATTTACATCTAGGCTAACACATATAAATATTCAAAGTTAACTCAGAAATCAATCCAAGAATGTTAAGACCAATATAGAATCATACATGCATTAATTTATTGATTTCCATAGCCAAGAAACAGTATATTTTTATCAGTATTATGTATTATGGAAATATGTCAGACATCTAGAAAAATAAAGAAAATTACTAAAAAAATGCTACTGATAGAAGCTGTCTGAAAAACAAATTCCTGATAGCAGTTCCCTCTTTGAGTATTTATGTATAATATATGGAAAGTAGATAAAATATTAATATCATTTTACAAACTCCTTGCCACTTTGCAGAAACAGATGGACTGTACCCACTTGTCTGGCTTTTTAATATAAAATTCCTTCTTCAGTCAATAATTTGTATATAAATTACTTGTTATGTTAAGATTATAAATATACAATTATATTGGGTTGAAACAAAAGTTTGTTGTATTTTTCAGTAGGTGGTGCATGAAGCTGGAATTTTGTATACTGAATGACTGAAATTTATGATATATATATATATATATATATATATACATACACACACATTCTGAAAAGTGACAGTTCAATGTGTCTTTCTTGATGGTCCATGTATGGATTGTGATTTTTAAATGCTTTTGTTTTAAAAGTGAAAAATGGAAGAAAATGAACTGCATTTTTATTATTTGATATTCTTTTATTTGGAAGACTAAGAATATTCTGGCAGGCCTTCACTCAATGATAACATAATCAAAGTTCAGGTATACAGGCCATTGCATAGATACTCAACATATTTCCTGTTAGTATTGTGTTAAATTGTAAAATAGCTCAAATGTATATTTACTACCCAGCACAAGTACTGAACTGATAGATTTCACCTAATGTAAATGTGTGCTTTCATAAGTTGACCTGTTCCACCTGCAGTTGAAATGGGTTCTGCCTATTGAATTCTATATAAACTTATGGTTTTCTATTAAGGAGATATAAAATCCATTTGCCTCTGGCTAGAATTTATATTTTAAACCAAACTCTAGTAGGCTATCCCCACAGGTTTTACCTGTCCTATAGGAGGGGGTTCAGTTCATTGCCCAGTGCCTGAGGTGTCCCCAAAAGGGCAAGTGCCAAGGGGTTTTGAGAATTTTTTCACAGTACTGCTGAGAAACCTACCTTAGACTGACCTTGTGTCACATCTGATTGCAAGATGGGCATGCTAGTAAATAACTATAAATTCCATTTGCCTTTGGCCATGATTTATATTTTGATTTTAACCCAAGCACCAAAATGTTTTCCCCCTATGCAGTACCTCTCCTTTGGGAGGAGGCTTGGTTTATTTCCAATGTTTGAGGTGCCCCCAAAAAGGGAAGTGCCGGGGACGCTTGGGAATTTTGTGTGGTATTGCTGTTAAACCCACTTTAAACCTCTACCTTACATCCCATTTGGTTGCAACATGGGCACACTGGTAAATACCAATCGTATTTGCCTGGTGAAGTTATATAAGATTAGATTAACATTGATAGCAGAGTTGTGCAGTGGAAGTGGTGCTGGGCTCATAACCTAGAAGTCCAACAAAATAATGACATCAGTAAATAATAGAAATCCACCAACTTTTGATGAGAAATCCTACAACCATTGAAAAATAGAAGTCAAGATGTGGCAGTTAGCGACTGACCTAAGTTAAAAGAAAAGGTCATTGGTATTAGTACTCTCGCTTCGCAGAAAACCCTGAGAGGTGGCCACAGAAATGGACCTTGAAGATTTGAAAAATGACAATGGTGCTGATTATTTATTGGAAGAACTGGACAAACTATTTGAAAAGAACAAAACAAATCAGACCTATGCTGCATATATAGATTTTGATAAGATCCACAATGACAGACACATGAATTTGGCTGATTGTGATTTTATTTCAGTAAAAATACAAATGTAAAAAGTATGAGATGGTACTTAGCATTCAAGCTCCTTGATAAGGCTGAAATTACCCAAAGTGATTGTCAGTTGGCTTTTGTTTGTTTGTTTGTTTGTTTGTGTTTTACGACATATCGACCTCCTCAGTCATTTAATCAGTTGGCTTTAACTGCATGCCATGAATTAAAATTTGAGATTATAAAAGCAGCTTTAAATTGAATTTTTAGGACCAAAGCATCTACTGTAGAAAATGACACATTATTCAATATTAAAGAGGAATCGGCCTCCATGACTCGCAGTAGTGCTTACAGCCGCCAGTACCAAAGGAGACATTTTCCATAAGTTTGTGCTGATAAGTCCAACAGTGGTACTGTTAACAGATCTTTTGCTCTCATTTACCCACCATAGAGAAACCTCCCTGCCTCCTATCAGCATGGCTGATGCTCAACTTCCCAAGAGCATCTCTCTGCACGTTCTTGGTTTCACGTTTCCCACTGACCTGAAGTGGAACAACTACATTGAATCAATAACTACATCTACCACAAAGAAAGTTGGTTCTCTATGTCGCACCAGAAGGGTTTTCTCATTTGAGTCAATCCTTCAAATCTACAAATCTAGGATTTGTCCTTGCATTGAATACTCTTGCCATATATGGTCTGGTGCACCTACTGTTCATCTCAAGGTTCTCGACAAAATCCAAAGATGGATATGCAATGTGATAAGTCCTGACTTGGCATCTCAACCCCACTCACTTTCTCACAGATGTGATGTGGCTTCTCTCTTTTTTTTGTTTTTTTTTTACAAATATTTTCATGGCAACTGCTCTGATGAGCTATTTTCACTAATGCTCCAAATTTAAGCATGCTACTAGGTTGGCATTGGCATCTCGGTTCCACTTTTTTACTGTCAAAACATTTAAATGTAACCACCTCTTCTATTTCAAAAGTTTCTTCTCTTACACTTCCCAACAGTAGAACTCCCTTCCTCTTCCTCGCTTCCCTGATAACTACAATCTTCAAAAATTTAAATGTTATGTCAATCAACATCTGATACCTCCATCCTTCTCTTTATCTTTTCTTCAAACACCCCTCTTTACTCTTACTTTCACTTTCTGTGTGCTAGTGGCATTCCCACCTTGCTTGGGGTGAGAAAAAAAAAATTAGAGAAACTGAATCCATCTTTTAATGGACTCAGGCACTGATTTTGTGATTCCATATAATTTGCTCACACAAAGTTTAAAATGTTCACATGACAGAAAATCATTCTTATACTTCAAAAATGGAAACAATTAACATTGTACTTATGATATCAACAGCTCAAGACTTGTTTCATCAGTCTGTCTTTGTAGTGGAGGCATATAATACAGCTGTCACCGACATCGCATGCTCTAAAGCAGTGTGTGGTTTTAATTGGCTTTTCAATTCTATTCATTCTTTGTCTCGTGAAGAAAAACAGAAAGCATGCAGCTGTGAAAGTCGTATATCATTTCAAATTTAGGGTTGGGGTCACTGTATATTCTATCCAAAATGTTAAATTCTCAGCAAGAATTGGCTCTGTAAACTGTCTTATTGAGACAAGTCATCGATTGTGAAATTCCATTATCAGTATGCAAAACATCCGGGAAATGAGCAAAAACTATTTGGGATTTAAGCAATGATAGAGTTATTATGCTTGGACAAAAAATTGATATTCGTTTCACATCCACTGGACACTACTGCATAAATATTCAAGATGATACTAAAGGTGGATTTTTTTTTGATCAGAAGGATTACATCAGTGAGGAGATTCAGAACATTCATAGCAAAATGTCTTTTGGTAGGAAAAAAGATGTAGTTTTAAAACTGTTGTAGAGGTGTATACAACGATAAATACCAAGAAACAACAGGTGTATACAACGATAAATACCAAGAAACAACAGGTGTATACAACGATAAATACCAAGAAACAACAGGTGTATACAACGATAAATACCAAGAAACAACAGGTGCATACAACGATAAATACCAAGAAACAACAGGTGCATACAACAATACCAAGAAACAACAGGTGTATACAATGATAAATATCAAGAAACTGGTGTAGAAACACCTAATCTGAAATGACGTCCCAAAACAGAGTTGCTAACTTCTTTTGACTACAAGTATGAAACGGTAAAATACACTTTTGTGAAGATACTTTTGCTGATAGAGTATCTAACGTAGGTTCAGTTGGATTTTTCTGGAATGCTTCACTAGATTTAATAGGAATTTTAGTTGTACATGTGGATGAATTTATTTGGGTAGGGAGGGTATCCTTTGAGAAAAAGGTTTATCGATCAACTGAGTAAGATTCTCCAGGTTAGAAAAAGAGTCTTGTGATTCCTTCAAATATTAAGGTTTATGTTTATCACAGGATGGTGATTGTATCACTTTAAACCAGAAGGATTATGCCTGCACATAGGAACCAACAACCATAGATAGGTATAGAATGAGAGATTCACTTTTATCTTCCACAGAAAAGTCTATAATAAGATCAAAAACTGGGCAGTTGCTCTGGCTTGCTACACAAAGCCGTCCTGATATTGCTTTTGATGTAACTACCATTGCATCTCAAATTAAAAATAGCACTGTTGAGGTTCTTAAAAGAGTAAATAAGATAGTACAATAAGTTCAAGCTGTACAGCCTACTTGGAATTGCCAGGATTTAGAAGAGCAAGTAGAATTTGTGTTGTTTACTGACACTTCTTATGAGAATTTCCCCAATGGTGGAAGTCAAAAGGTTTTGTTATGTCTTTGAAAGGGGACATATGGTAGAATTAATTATATCACTTAGAAGTCAAAGAAAATAAGAAGATTGGTGATAAGTGGAACCCTGGCTATGATTGAGGGAGTTGATCATGTCATTTGTTTGGCCACCTTATACAATGAATTAATTTATAATGGCAATAGTCAAAAAAGTGTTCCTATTAGATGTTTTGTGGAGTAAAAAGATTTATATGAAGCTATCTACTCCAAAAGAGCAAGTAGTTGAAAGGAGGCTAAGAGTGGAGACTAATAGCCGAAAGGAAATGGTGGAAACAGAATAAAGTTACAGCAATTGATCGGATTCCTCCAACAAACAGATTGCAAACATGGAGTTTGTGGACAACTTATATTATCCTATTTGAAAAGGAGTTTTCTTTTACCACTTCCTAACTACCATATTTATAGGACTGTATTGTAACATAATATTGTGGCCTTTTTAGGAGCCAGAAATAAAGGTTTCAAAGAGAGGAATTGAATTAATGTTCAGTCTGTCTGTCAGAGCTGACTACTGGAAACTTCCCACTCCAAAAGCAGTACCTGCTCCTATTTATAGCTGGGAGAATCCATGCATACAAGGGTAAATTACCATAACACATAATCAATATGCAAAAAAAAAAAAAAAATAACTAATGAACTTTAAAAAAACGAGGGAAACAGAAAAAAAGAGCATATATAAGATTGTTAAGTTGTTAAATAGCTCAAATATATATTTACTAGCCAGCACAAGTATTGAACTGATAGCCTTCACCTAATGTAAACATGTGCTTTCATAAGTTGACCTGTTCCACCCACGGTTAAAATGGGTTCTGCCCATTGAGTTCTATATAAACTCATGGTTTTACCATTAGGGGATATAAAATCCATTTGACTTTGGCTGGGATTTATATTTTAACCCTAGCCCAAAGGGGCCATCCCCACCAGGCTTTACCTCTTCCTCAGGAGAGGGTTAAGTTTATTGCCTAAAAGGGGAAGTGCCAAGAGGGTTTGTGAATTTTTCCACTGTACTACCCTTAAGCCCACCTTAAACTGACTGTGTCACATCTGGTTGTGAGGTGGGCATACCTATAAAATCTATTTGCCTGGTGAAGCTATATCAGACTATATCAACATATTGTAAGGCATTTGAAAACAGTTGGATACAAGAAAAAAATTTAAATGGACCATATTTCCATCAGTGATTGCCTGTTTAAACAGAAGAAAATTGACCCATTTTTAAAAGAATAATAACAGCCAGTGAAAAATGGATTGTTTAAAACAATGTGGAACAAAAAAGGTCCTGTAGAAAATGAAATGTGTCACTGCTAGCCCCCTCTCCACCCAAAGTGAAATTGTATCTAAAATAGATGATGATATGTATTTGATAGAATTGGAAGGGTGTTGTGTATTACAAGCTCCTTTCACAAAATCAGACATTAAATTTAGATAAGCATTTCAATTTAAACAGATAAAGAAACTGATAAAGGCAGAAGAAATCATTTGGAATTGGCCTATCAGAAGGGAGTTGTCTTCCATCAAGACAATACCAAACTTATATTTCTGCAGACCCAGCAGATAATTTATACAGCCGCTGTAGTCACATGACTTTGCACTTTCAGTTTATCACTTAACTCCCGTCAAAATGAAGAAAAAAAATAACTCAATTCCCCAGAAGTCTTTAAAAACCATTTCATTGCCCAAAAAAGTGCTAATTTCTGAATCATGAAGCTGCCTCAAAGATAGCAAAAGGCAGTGGAACAAAATGAAATATACCTTGTTTAATAAATCTATGTGTAAATATTTAAAATTTGTCTTTACAAAATTTACTTAAAAATCCCTACAACTTTTGTTCAAACCCAATGTATTTAATTTTCTACATACATCTAAAAGCAGGTGTGTTGCCCTGCCCTAGTCAGCCACCACTGGCAGCTTTTGCCATCAAACAGGGTATTGTTTTTTTTGTGTAGATGTGTCAGTCTCCGCAATTTTTCATGCAAGTCAGATTTTAAACATTGTGTTAAAAGCACCTGCTTTTGACCATTCAACAAAATGTGCTCATAGTGATCATTATCAATGATATAGAATGGAAGGTTTCACATTGGAAGAAGCATTGTGTTGCAAGCATGGTTTTAATTAACTTTGTTTATTTGGGATTTTGACCAGATCCAACTTAATGCCTGTAGAGCATCTGGAGATGATGTGAAGCACTCTTCAGGTAACAGCCAGTGATGCCCACCTACAAAAGGAGGGAAACGATTGAGCATCCAAGGAATTCATGACACCCGACCTCAATAATTAGCACATGGCATATCCACCTCTTTTCCACACAATCAGATTGCAGTGGTTTTACTTTCATTTGTGTGCCTCCTCCCTGTTCTCCTCCCCATAGAACTGTTAATTCTACAAGAAGGACACACTTCTTTGAATCAGACCATGCATGCATGCATGCTTCTGTTTGAATGATAGGTACCGGAAATTGTAAAGGTGTTTTAAGATCAACTAAAACCCTCCAATCACAGGCTCCACTCAATGGTATCATGCTGATAAAGTTCATGACCACTTCCAGCACTTTGT